TAACCAGGAATATTTTAGACCAAAGGTGAGAGTTCTCAGCTGGCAATCAAGAATTTGAAATAATTGTCCAATGAGAAACCTGTGGGGGCGGGTCTTACTAGTGCTTGCATTTGAAAACCATTTCTCCATGTTCCCATTTTGAAAAGTAACTGACCTTCATTTCAACACTCCTAGACTTTTGTATTAGCTTTGTCTTCTTGTTCCTTTTTTGTGCCTTGAATGTGCTTTTTTACCCGACTGTGAATAAGTAACTGTGAGTGTGTTTGTGTGTGCGTTTCCTCCATTTACATAGTCAGCCGTGTTCATTGTACAGTTTGACAGTTGGATGACACATGGAGTGGTGTGAAGTGCCCACAGATTCGTGCCAGGTTAAACAAGATTGGGGCTCACCGCGTTCCCAAACTCTTGATGATTTCTAAATGTTCTTGGCATCAATCAGACACTAAAACTTTAAGACTCCTGCAATACACTTCCTCTAGAGAAATACGGCACTCTTTTCAAATCTGCATTATGGATGTGGCTTGTTTCAATAAAAGTAAAAGTGACGAAAACACTATATATCTCCTTTAATATGCTAAAGTCAGAGATTTTAGACTTAATTCTTGCTACTTCATTATGCTAAAGTTGGAGATTTTAGAATTGCTTCCTTATAATGCTAAAGCTACAGATTTCATACTTGGTTCTACATTGTGTGCTCCTCATTCCTACTGTTCTGTAACACCACTCTAGATAATAACTTCTAGATAATAACTGGTGATTCAACACTGACATTTCCCCGCTGTCCGACAAATAAAGGCTCTCTTAAAAATCTTTAAAGGCAATTCAGGCAATTCATCTAAAACCTGAAAATGGGCAAATTACACTTTATTCAAAACACACAATTTTAGACAAAAATGTGGTGACTTCATGATGGTTTTCATTAAAGGAGCAGTATGTAAAAAATCTGGCCAAAAGTGGTACTGCACTCTCCCCAACTCAGGTTGCCAGATATGCAGACGACCATAATAACTGGCTAAATAGTTTTGTCCGCAACAGATCTATAACCAACACCTTTTTCACAAAGCAATCCCAAGTTTTGTTCATTGTTTTGTCATTAATGCGTTGAGAATCATAACAAGACCTTTTTTAGTTCTGTGGCCACATTTTAGAGATTAGCCTGACGCGGTGAGTTCTGGCAACCTGGATCACGGACTTTCTGAATGGCGGGACATCGAAATGAAAACAAGAACAAGATACAGGGGCTTTCAAAACTAATTTTGAAATCCAAATATTGTGGCTAACTACTGTTATCAGTTAAAGAAGTAATTGAAAATAACATGGTAAATTAATGCCTTTTGACAAATCAGGGACATTTAATGATGACTTGACATGAAAATCTTACATACTAATACTTTAAAGTTTTTTTTAACCAAATTTAAGCTGAAGGAGAAGAAAAATTGTCCTCTACTTTTATTTCTCTCTGTGCTAAAGGAGAATGGTTAAATGCAAAGGGTCAAAAGTGGCCTCGGCCCCTTCACAACACTAAGATAAGATAAGATATGCTTTATTTGTCTCACAAAGAAGAAATTTACATGTCACATTTGTCACTAGGTTTCACCAAACGGCATTCAACTAAATAAACCCCTCCCACACTTTCCTGAGGGAGCAGAGAAAGTCTCTCCCACTCTGGGAAGTTGAAAACACTAGTCTCAATAAATAAACAAACCAGGGAAAAGGACTCTGACAGCAAGATCTTCACAAACTGGTAGGAAATGTTTAACTTGGTTTGTTTGTTTGTATGTAGAAGTTTTATGTTTCTTTAAAGGTGCAATCCTCCACTGTCCTGGTAAAGCGTGCATATTCAAAGTTTTAGGTGTTTGAGGGCAATATCTTATGAAATAAATATCTACTTTACATGGGCAAAGTACAACAGAATGAGTTTGTAAATGTATAATGCTTATTTGAAAACATGTTCTCTTTTGCACACTTGTTAGAAAGAGCCCTGCGTCACTATTAGACAGTTTGGGGTGAAAAATGAAGTGTTCCTCTCTTTTTCTTTTTTTTGTCTAAAAACCATATGCTAAAAAAGTACATGCATATGAAAACTGATACCTGTGATGACAAATCACACTGAAAAAAGTGTCTCAAAAAAAAAAATCAAGATAAAGTAGCTACTAGATGAAATGTACTTGTTTCAGGCTACATTTTCTGCTAGTGGATCATGATTTTTCCATTTGTTAAGATTTCTTGAAACAAAACAAAAAACATACATCATATATGTATTTGCTGTACAGCAAGAAAAATAGCAACAAATAAATATATACAAACATATATAAAAAATAAAAAAAAACACAGAGGGCCACACGACTCAGTGTGTTTAGTTTAGTTTAGTTTATGTATTTGTTTGAGCAGTTAACCTGCTCAAAGGGAGTGGGCTGAAGCCAAAGGCTTATAAGCGCCCACCCCAAAATAAAAATAACATTACATTTAATATTTACCAGGTAGCAAATCATAAACAAAGGAACATAGGGCAAAGTAACAATAAATGATGAACCAGAACAAAATAAAAAAAACAACAAATAAAGAACAAAAGAATATGCTACTTTTATGTTATAAAGGTGTAATAATACATATTATACTCTGAGATCTTGCTACTTCCCAGTTGTCATTACCATCCTTAATATAATTTAATTTGGGTTTAATTATCATTATTATTATATTTGTTTAATTGAGTTATATGTGAAGTATGATGTAAGCCCTGCATAGTGTGGTGCATTAAAAAGCCAGGTGTAGAACGGGCCAGTTGAAGAGGGCAGTAACTCCCCTCAACAAACCCCCACCCAGCTGCCCTACCAGCTGATTTTGTAGATGATGTTCCAATGCTAAGTGGTGCATTAAAAGACAAGGTTTTGAGCCCGTTGGGAGGGTCCCTCTCAACAGATTCATAACTTGCCTACCCTAATTCTCAATTTGTAAATGTATGCAATAGAATGACAACCGTTGCAAGTGTGACCTGTGCTATAGCGACCCTGCGTTGTGTACGGTGCTCTGAACCCAGAGAAGAGACTTGGCTGCAATTGGGATTGGCAACGCCGAAACCCTTTTATTTCCTGGCGAAGGAATATAAAATAAATGGCGTTAGCCCAAACATGTGTGTGCCCAACACGGCCTTTCTCTTAGACATCAGGGGAAAGAGAGCCAAACATAAATGTACATTACATACCTGGCGAAGGAATATAAAATAAATGGCGTTAGCCCAAACATGTGTGTGCCCAACACGGCCTAAGAACATAAAACAGAGGAAACAGAAAACACATAAGTACTAAATAATAACAGGGATGACACTAAAACAACGTAATAACATAAAAGACAAGATGAAATTACATAGATGTTAATTTTAAATACACGATGCCTCTAGATATTAAAACCAGCTACCTTTCTCTTAGACATCAGGGGAAAGAGAAAGGAGGAAGAGGCGGAGCCTGACTTAAATACCGGCAAACCGGAAGTGACAAGTGTTGGGCCAGACGACCAAAATAAAAGACATACATGAGCTAACATACACTGCCAGGTACGTACTAACACAATTGCACCGATCCTATTATCAGGATTTTAACCAACCTTTAACACCTGTTACACAAGCAGCAACACTCTTCCTTGATTATAGAGGAAACACACACAATTGATCCTACTGCGCCTCTAGTGGCAACACATTTCTTGTTCTCTGTATATTTCAAAAGTCTTTTGTTTGTATTTATATTTGAACAGGTTGATATTTGGACTTCGTTTCAACTCCATTTCCAGTTTATTCCACAATTGTACACCATTAACTGTTGGGCTAAAACCTTTCAAAGAGTCCTAAAGTTTACTTCGTCACGTAATTCATAACAACCAGTACGTTCTTGCCTGTTAACAGCCAAGTATCAGCCTGCATGAGTAAAAAACGAAATAAAAAAACTAGTGTGATTGGATAAATACACTGAAATCAACTGAACTACACTGGTCTATGTATAGCAGTGTACTTATTTTGTTTTGGTTTGAAAGTTAGATACCCCAGCTGTGATAGAACAAGGAAAGACCGGCTAATAGAAAAGCACCGCTGGAACATATTTTAACACAGAGCTGGTCTGATAAGCATGCACTGGGAGCTCAGTCCATAACCTCAGAACTACAATGGACGTTGGCAGACTAAACACAATATGTAGGTCAGTAAACGATTCTGTAAACCTAAACTTTTGACACTCTGCTCTTACAGAATCCCTTCCAGAGACATGTTTCTCCAACTGCCGGCTCTGCTCACCCTCCTATGTTCTTCTCTGTCTTTTGGTGGAAAAGTGTTGGTTTTCCCTATGGATGGAAGCCACTGGCTCCAAATGAAAGTCCTGGTGGAGGAGCTTCACTCAAAGGGCCATGAACTAACTGTGCTCTGTCCGGGCGACAGCTGGTTCATCAAAGACTCTCCGCTCTATCAAACCATCTCCATACCATCGATCAGCTCTGATGAGAAGAAGATGACAAATTTTGCTGCTAAAATGACACAAATGAGGACAGAAGAGCTATCTTTACAGGATTATTGGAATATGATGTTTGAGGTTTTTGATTACCAATATGAAAAACATAAAATAGTAAATGATGCAGTTCGTGAAATGTTTGACAATGAGACTCTTATGGACCAGCTGAAAGGAGCCAAGTTTGATCTAATGTTGACCGATCCGGTGGTTGGGGCTGGGGTCCTCATGGCTCACCGTCTAGGTCTACCTCTGGTGCTGGTAGCTCGATGGACATTCGTCGGTGATGGTCACAGTTTAATTGCACCTTCTCCTTTGTCCTATGTCCCAACACCAATGACCGACACTGATAAAATGACATTTATACAAAGGGTTCAGAATGTGTTGAAATATTGTTTCCTGAGTGCGCAGTTTTCTATTAACATTGAGCCATCTTATCAATCTGTGGTTCGCGACTACTTTGGACCTGACGTAAATTACAAAGAGTTGTTGCAAAGTGCAGATATTTGGCTCATGAGGATCGACTTTGTCTTTGAGTTTCCGCGTCCCACAATGCCCAATGTCATCTACATCGCCGGGTACCCGTGCAAACCTGCCAAACCGCTACCTCGCCACCTGGAAGACTTCATGCAAAGCTCAAGCGAACATGGGGTCGTTGTCATGTCTTTGGGAACTCTGGTGGCTCAACTTCCTGATTATGTCGTGGAAGAGATTGCTGCTGCGTTTGCAAAGCTGCCGCAGAAAGTTGTCTGGAGGTATAAAGGAAAGAGGCCAGAGAATCTTGGTAACAACACTCTTCTTCTGGAGTGGCTTCCTCAAAGTGACCTTCTCGGGCACCCAAACACAAAAGCATTTGTTGCACACGGAGGAACCAATGGCATTCAGGAAGCAATTTATCATGGAGTTCCTCTCGTTGGTCTACCTCTGATGTATGACCAACGCGAAAACTTTGCCCGAATGACAGTCAGAGGTGCGGCAAAAGTTCTGGACATTGCGACTTTGAATAGAGACATCTTTCTGCAGGCTCTTGAAGAGGTTTTATATGACGCTTCCTACAGAGAGAACATGCAAGCCCTGTCCCATGTGCACCGGGACACTCCGCTCAAGCCTCTGGACACAGCTGTATTCTGGGTGGAGTTTGTGATGAGGCACAAGGGGGCCAAACATCTCCGGACCGAGTCTTACCAACTCTCGCTCGTCCAGTACTACAGTGTTGATGTTCTCCTGTTTCTGATGGCTGTGTTTTTACTTTGCGGGATTATTGTGCTAACTGTGATGAAACTCTTGTGGGGACTGATTTGTCATAGAAGAAAACTCAAAAAGCAGTAAATGTTTTGAACCAAATTTTGTGAAAGAACTATAATTACATGTCTACAATAATGTGCAATTGGAGGGTTTTAATCATTAATATGAAAAACGTAAAAGAGTTGTCAATGCAGTGAAATGCTTGACAATAAACTGAGATAGATTAAGTTTGATCTAATATTGACTGATCTGGGGGTTAGGGTCCTCACCATCAAGGCCATCTAGGACAAAACTCACACTGAAAGAAATCCCTTGAGAAGAACATATATGATAATAGTAAAACACTGCTTATAAAAAGGAAATATATCTGCCAAATAAGAAAATAATACTAGCCTCAAATGAATTGATTTCAGAAGAAAACATAAATTATATGAAAAAGTATTATTTACTTAATTCTTAATTTTTGAGATTTTTTTTTCTTAAAATATAGCACAATTTACCTATTTATCTGAACAAAATAAGTTCTCTGGGGAAAAAAAATAGTAAAACAAGCAATACAAATTCACTGCTCAGACTTTTTTCTCAAATACGATTATGAAGTATTATTATCTTAAAACTAGTAAAATAATCTTACATGACAAACTAAATTTGAGTAAACAAAACTTGCCATTAAATATAACCATAATTTATTACCAAGATTTGTCTTTTTTCAGTCCACGTATATAAAATGTGATGTCAAAATACGTCAAAACATTCAAAACGTAGACTTTGAAAACATTCCTGCTTCCTGGAATGTTTATGTGAACAGCACAGAGACACAAGGAATACACATGACATTTTGTATGAGAATAAGGTAAGGATAAGGTTATTGAGTGGAATTCATGGATTTTGAGTCTATTTTAAGTAAGTTATAGTAGGAAATGTATTGTCAAAATATATTCAATTTATCAGAGTGCTTTGATTATCACTAATCAACAGTGCATTGTTTTTCTCCATCAGAAATGTATATTCAAGTGCAGCCTATGTGGACAAAACATATTTTCTCTTCAAATTCTAGTGATTCGGCTGATTACACACACATACAAACATACATAAACACCAGAACTCCCAGAATTCTGAAACTACTAGAACTCCTGGAGCTCTGGGAGTTCAAGTGCTAATAGTCCAGCAACTCATACTGTACCCACATTTTTCATTATTTCCTTTTCCTGTAATTGGAAAGTTTTAAGACAAGTTTAATTCTGAGCAGCCAGAGCAGGTGTGTGAAACCCCAGTGTAGAGGTGAAAGCAATTATGACATAAATGACTAAATCGATGCTTCAGTTGGGTCCCACTGGTATTTTTTTTGGACAGAATTGTTTATTGACCACTGGCTAATCCTGTCTTGGCCTTACAAAACCTTTCCCAATCATTTTTGTCATAGAAGTGTAAAACGCCCCAGAAACAATCCGGAGCATCAACTTTTCCTCACTGTGACAGAATGCAGTGACATAAATCCTACAAATTGAGAAGGGCCGGCAGGCTCGGCTCGGTCCACACATGGTTAGCGATCAGCAGATTTTTTCTCCCACTTTCAGCCTTTATGACTTTGCAACAGTGCCGGATCATCTACATCATCATCAACTACAATCCAGAGTATTTGCTTCGTGATTGTCATTGAAAATCATTGTGTTTTTGTTTCGGCTAAGTCTTGGTTTGAGTTCAGAGTTCTGTGATGTCCTGGATTTTGTTATTTTAGTGTTTCGTTGATTGCCCAGTTGCCGCGGTCACATGGGACCTAAAGCCCGGATCAAATTGCGAAGTTTTTCACTTAAACTGGGCTTTAGGCTGCGCATGTGACTGCAGCCTCTGTCACTTCTGAGATTCCTGTGGGGTACCTTTGAACTGTGCTAAAAGCCTTTGACATGAATTGTGTTGTAAAAGCAGAAACCCCATGAAGGTGTGTTTGATTTCCTCCACAATTCTCCCTTGAATGAACTCTGCGTTGAAGCCTTAACCTCATACAACATTTGAATTCAACTCAATTTATGGCTCTAAATCACAGTAATTATCTCGGAGGACTTTACAAAGTTGATGTTTTGCCGACTCGGATCAGAGAATCAAACACAAGAAATGCACTGATAAAAACGAACTTGCTAAATTAAAGCTGGGGCACCTTTTTTTTCCATTGCATTACCAGTTCATCCTCATTGGTCCATAAGTAGCAGATGACCAATGTCCATAAAAATGTATAGCTGATAATCTCCTTATTAATACAAGCTCTGCCACTTCAATTGTATGTTTTTGTTTTTAAAAAGACATATTTTTGACCCTGTTGTATCATAATAACGATATTTAGAACAGTCCCTCCTCTTGGATTAAGCATAACCAGGAATATTTGCTGGAGAATAATTAGACCAAAGGTGAGAGTTCTCAGATGGCTATCAAGAATATAAATTAATTGTCCAATGAGAAACTTGTGTGGGCGGGTCTTACTAGTGCTTGCATTTGAAAACCATTTCTCCATGTTCCCATTTTGAAAAGTAACTGACCTTCATTTCAACACTCCCAGACTTTGTCCATTGAGCTAATTAATAGAAATGATCTAAACCAAATAAATCTTTTGTGCATTTAATCAAACATAATAAGGTCAGATTCATTAACAAAACTTCAGCGCTGCAGTTCATGTTACGTTTTATCCCCCGACCTCATATTTAACTAATAATGACGTCATAATCAGTGTCATGATTATGTTTCTTTATCCGACTGTGAATAAGTAACCCAATTAATTGTGTGTGTGTGTGTGTGTGTGTGTGTTTGTGTGTGTCACTCCATGTACATAGTCAGCCGTGTTCAGTGTACACTTTGAGAGTTGTTTGACACATGTAGCAGTCAAAAGTGCCCACAGATTAGTGCCAAGTCAAACACAATTGGGGCTCACCTCGTCGCCATACTGTTAATGATTTCTAAATGTTCTTGGCATCCATCAGACCCTATAAAGCCCACACTGAAAATTGAAAACAGTCTCAATAAATAAACAAACCAAGGAGAAGGACTGTGGCAAAAAGATCTTCACGAACTGGTAGGAAATGTTTAACTTAGTTTTGTTTGTTTGTGTGTGGAAGTTGTGTGTTCTTTTAAAGGTGCATTCTTCCACTGTCCTGGTAAAGTCTGCATCATACCCACCGTTTCAGGCTTTTGAGGGCAATAGCTTATGAAATCATTAGCTATTATAACAGGCTAATGCCAACAGAATTAGTTTTTTAGATGTGACCACAATATTCATCTTCATTCTAAAACATGTTCTCTTTTGCACGCTTGTAAGAAAGAGCCCTGGGACTCACTTTTTGACTGTGATAGATGAAGTGCTCTTCTTTTAAATGTTTTGTGTCTAAAAACTGTATGCTTAAAATAGTACATGCATCTGAAAATGACTGATACCTGTGATGACAAATAGCTAAGTGCTAGTTTGATAAATTGTACAGTATCACACTGGAAAAAGTGGCTCCAAAAAAATCAACTTAAAAATAGCAATCATCTGCCAGTGGATCATGATTGTTCCACTTGTTAAGATTTCTTGAAACAAAACAAAAATTATGAATTATGTTATAGTCCAATCCGATCCAATCCACTTTATTTATCTGACACATTTCATAAACGAGCAGTTTACAAAGGGCTGCAAAGAAAAAATAGAAAAAAAGAAACAAATACACACATATATACAAATCAAATTAAAAAAACACAGCGGACCACACGACTCACACTTTGTTAGAAGCCAAGTATTTTCAGCCTGTACAAGTTAAAAAGTTAAAAAATAAACCTGGTGTGATTAGATACATACACTGAACTTCACTGGTCTATTTAAAGCAGTGCTCCTAATTTAATTTTGGTTGGAAAGTTAGATACCCCAGCTTTGATAGAACAAGGAAAGACCGGCTAATAGATAAGCACCGCTGGAACATATTTTAACACAGAGCTGGTCTGATAAGCATGCACTGGGAGCTCAGTCCATAACCTCAGAACTACAATGGACGTTGGCAGACTAAACACAATATGTAGGTCAGTAATCGATTCTGTAAACCTAAACTTTTGACACCCAGAGACATGTTTCTCCAACTGCCGGCTCTGCTCACCCTCCTGTGTTCTTCTCCGTCTTTTGGTGGAAAGGTATTGGTTTTCCCTATGGATGGAAGCCACTGGCTCCAGATGAAAGTCCTGGTGGAGGAGCTTCACTCAAAGGGCCATGAAGCTCTGTCAACTTTTCCTTACTGTGGCAGAATGCAGTGACATAAATCCTACAAATTGAGAAGGGCCGTTAGGCTCGGCTCGGTCCACACATGATTAGCGATGAGCAGATTTTTTCTCCCAATTTCAGCCTTTATGACTTTGCAACAGTGCCGGATCATCTACATCGTCATCAACTACAATCCAGAGTATTTGCTTCGTGATTGTCGTTGTTTACCCCTTACAACAATCTTTAGAATGCTCCGAGTAAATAAAATCTGATGGATTTTTGTGCCATGTGTGGTGTGTTAAGACTGCACTCGTCGCTAAGAAGGACTTTGGGACTGCTCCCATCTCAAATCGGGGATATCCAACATTGTTTTGGCCTGATTTCTCTTGGTGTGTGGTGTCCTCCGGGGACAGACGAGCACGCTGCCAGTGGACTGCGGCATGTAGCCAATCAGAAGACGAGGCGACAAGGAAACACCGTACAAAGATCATAGCAGTCAGTGGCATGGCGCATAAATATATATAGTTCATGCTCGTGTTGTCTCCATTTCTTTGACCATCGCCTTTTCCTTTGATAACACTTTTTCTCTAAAAGCAAACTGCAAACTATCGCCACGGCATCCTCTTCGTCCTCCATGATTGTTTACTCTGAAGTCACGCTTGATCTCGAGAGATTAGGTAAGAACTCCGTCTGACCTGGAAATGCTCGGGGGAGAAATCGGTTTGTGTGTGGTTTGCGTAATTTTGCCGTGTGGCGCATGTGGTGTACGACCAAAGTGGTTGGACCCTTGATTTTTCATCTCCGTGTGTGGGGTCTCTCAGGTTAGGAAAATCGGCCGACAATTTTAAAATCGTCTCGTGTGAACCAGGCTTTAGTCTTGGTTTGAGTTCAGAGTTCTGTGATGTCCTGGATTTTGTTATTTCTGTGTTTCGTTGATTGAATCTCTATCTTTTTGGCGGTCTTGCCTTTTGAGTCCTTCTTCTGTTTTGACCTCGTGACAATATAAGTAGCTGCTATGTTTCTAGCTGATGTAAATCTGGTCAAGGAGAGGAGTTTGTAGAATCGGACCTGCAGGTTTTTGGTGTACGTATTCTTTCTGATGCACATTGGTAACTTATCTCCATCCTAAGCGTGAGACATATACTGTATATCTCAGGTGATGATGTCTCTGTTCTTACGCACATTGATAAAAAATCATATACAAAGCTCTGTCTTCTTTTGTTTGATCTGAAGTGTCTCAAAAATAAACCATGTTATGTTATGGGTGCAGTCGCCATTGTCAACATGTTTTTTCCCCATTTAAACAAATATTTCTGCTCCAACTTTCTAGATTCACTTTTAAGCCTGCGTCCATAGATAACTGGTGCTTGGCTTGTGCATAAATCCCCTCAGTGGCCCCAGGAAAGCCTTGTTCCGTCCGTATGAGACTCAGTATGGCTACCGAGTGTATGGAAATCAGCATTGAATCTGCTGTAATCCCTCCGCTGTGATTGATGGCTCACTGCCGGGACTTATTAGCCGGCCGTTCAATGTTTTTTATGATGGGAACAGATGGGAGAAGAGATTTTGTATATGTAAAATATTTAGCACACAGTAATGAATGAAGGCTTGTGTGTTTGAGCGTGGATAACAAATCATTCATGTTTTCGAGGTAGTTGGATGGCTGTCACTTCATGTCATTTTAATAGTAGCCCAAGAGATAAATTATTGATGTCCCCTTCAAATCACATTTGTCCAGTTCTCAGGTCTCTGCTTTGGCTCAGAGTTTAGATCAGCTCTGTTTGTGACAAGTCCCTCATGGCAAAGTACATCACAGGTACTGGCCTCCTGTTGGGGACTCTGAGGAGCACAGGGACTGGCCTCCTGTTGGGACTCTGAGGAGCACAGGGACTGGCCTCCTGCTGCACCCAGAGTCAGGACTAAACAGGCAGCATTTAATTTAGTCTTTCTGAAAATGTGTCACCTGCTTCTACTCTGACAATGTTTAAATCCAGGTTAAAAAACGATACTGTGATTATTTATGATTTGATGATGCCCTGTGTGATTTTGTCTCTATCTTGTGTAGATCACTTTGAGTCTATGAACTGTGCTATACAAATAAACTTGTCTTGCCTAGATCCTCACTGTTTCCTCTGTCCTGACACTACAAGTCCATGATGTTCTTCAAAACATACACTTTTTGATATTCTCACAGCTTGCGCTTTTAAAAAAGCATTCCTGGGCCTTTTTGTGAGGACATTTATGGAATATCTATGAACCAATGGCTTTATTCTCTGATCATTGTGAATTATTGAAATGGCATTGGGCCAAAGTTATGTTTAGTGCAATTACGAACGGCTAACATACAGTACCTTCGTGGACAAACATGGATTCCGTCAGACCTTTTTTTTGTGATTCCATTATTTTGAGAGTTGACCCTGCACTGCTCATTTGCATTGAGATAAAAAGCCATTAGAAAACATGTTAGTGAAGTGGTTGTAGAGGCAGTTCAGAGGTCATGTTTCAATGTCAATAGTTAATTTGAATGTAATTGTTCCGGTTCTGCGTGTTCCAGGGGGCATGGCCTCCTCTGCCAGATCATGCCGTCATATCGGTAGAGCTACTCCTGTTTGTTTGTAACTTACTTGTTTTTAGATTCCTATCTTACCTGCTCCCCTATCTCCAGATCCTTGTCCTGTTCTCTGGTGTATTCTTCTACGTCCACTCTCCTCTCCGGCCGGCCTGCTCCCTGTCTCTCCCTGCGTTGTCCCTTTTTGAATATTTTTTTGTAATTCAAACTCCAACTTTTGCCTCCAAGTTCCTCTTTGGGGTTCTAAACTCACCCTCAACAGTCATATTTCAAACATCCAACCATCCATCCAATTTCTTCCCCTACAGCTGAAAGTATGTTAGCCGTTCGTAGTTGCACTAAACATAACTTTGGCCCAATGCCATTTCAGTAATTCACAATGATCAGAGAATAAAGCCATTGGTTCATAGACATTCCATAGATGTCCTCATAAAAATGCTCAGGAATGCAAACTACTCACCTTGGCTTGAAAAAAATGGAATAATAGAAGTTATTGAAGGTAAAAAAAATAAACATCCTTTGGTTTGAAGAGGAGCAGTCAGAATGACGGAGTTCTAGTAGTTTCAGAAATAATAAAAAAAAGAATAAACTTATCCATTTAAAAGGTGCAGCTGAAGGCGTGTTGGCCGTTCATAATTGCACTAAACTTGACTTTGACCCAATGCCATTTCAATAATTCAAAAAGAAACTCAGCCCAAAGCAACTTTAGTCCAACTTTCCCAACAAGCTGCCTGAATTGCAGAATTACACACATATATTATGACTTCACACCTCAAATACCGTCCAGCGTGAGTGATGTGCTTTCCCAGAAATGGGGCATGCGAACATAAATATAGTGTGTCCGGTTTGCACAGCTCAAAGACATTCTGAATGAGGTCTTCACCAGTAAATCCCTCTGGACGTGGACAGGAAAATGGAGTATGCATCAGGCTTATGGAGCGTGACAGTGACGACAGCCACGTTTGTAGTCCTGATTTAGACCCACTCCAGCACAGCCACACTAATGCTATTTACCCCTGGCAGAGGTGTCAGTGGTGTTCAGATAAAAGTCACTTAACCACAGATGCAAAGTGAGTCTGTCAGCTCCTCATGTTGGCTAAATATAGCAATGACATGTAATTTGGTTCAATGATGTAGTGGAAAGTTGTTGTGAAGACAGTCCAGTGCTAAATGATCAATAATGTCATGTCAGACTTTAATATTATTTTATTACTCTCTCAATCAAAATCTCATCAAAATCTACTTAATTTTTCTTTGTTGTATTAATATTTTAGCCCTCTTCCGTCATTTTTAGTCCCTCTTTGTTCTCCTGTGCCTTTTTGACTGTTTTTTTCCTGTTCTATAAACTGCCTGCCCTGCCCTTCTGTGTTTCACCTGTGTCTCCCAGTTAAATTCCTTGTTCTATTTCCCTCTTGTTGTCAGTCTATTGTGTTTTTATTCCCTGGTTTGTGTCTTTGTCCCCAGTTTCTCTGTTCTCTATTCAATTTATTTGTGTATAGCCCATCATCACAACAGTAGTTATCTCGGTGGACGTGACTAAGCTCTAATTTTGCCGACAGAGATCAGAGAATCAAACAGTTCAAAGCAGTGGGGGCGGGTCCCGGCTCCAAAATGTCCTAAATGAAGTGCGCTGATATGCTTGCAATACCACCCCGAGCCAGTGGGGGTGGACCCAGGATAAGACGTATCCAATGCTAATGTATTGCATCTTTTGACTTCTCGAAAACGGCTTTACAGGATGGTCCACAAGTTGCTCTTGGCCCAAAGCTACGTTCGAGATCCTATCAATGCTGATGGGAGTATTTTTTGGGACCAGTCTAGTTTGGCCGCTATGGACTTTGATTGTGTTAAATGAATGGGGCAAATGCAGTTAACGCATGCGCAAATGCGTTTTTTTTACATTTGGAAAAAGCCCACAGACGGCGAAAGTGGTGGCACATTAGTTTCAACAGCGGAGATAGGCATGACTACGTTTGTTAATACGGTCTATAGTTGAAACACAGGAAATATAATGCTAACTTTTTTGACCAATGTCCATAAACGTTTGTAAATTATATTATTTTTGTTGTATTCTATTTTGGATCCTTACTCTATTTTTTTGTGGGATCATGACATAATTCTCTACGCTTGTTGGAGTCATTCCATTTTTAAGTTGCAACTAAAGACCAATTTAGTGGTGGCACGGTGGCTGAGTGGATAGCATTATAGCTTCTCAGCAAGAAGGTCCTGGGTTCGATCCCGGTCGGACCAGGGCCTTTCTGAGTGGAGTTTGCATGTTCTCCCAGTGTCTGCGTAGGTTTCCTCCAGGTACTCCGGTTTCCCCTACCACTAAAAACATGTACAATAGGTCTGGCATGTGCCTCCTATACTGTACTCTGTGAAAGGCGCTATATAAATACAGATTACATACAGTTACTTTTCGCCTCACTGTACATAGGCCAAGATATGTAGTGTGTTCATCATTCTGCATACTTGTTTTTACGG